CCCGGCATGAGTTTTAAGCCACCGGGTCCGGAAGCGAACCGCAGTCGACTATGTAGGAGTCCAGCGACATAGCCATTATGCTAACTACTGGTCCCAAGCCTTCAACCTGTTTTGTAAGTGGCAAATAGTCTAGAAATGTGTATTTCATGAAAGTAGGAAGTTTTAAGAATCATGGTCATAGATCATAGTACGTTATGAATATTGTTGAAGTAAAAAAATGATAACAGGTATTTTTCCCTGTGGTTCACATTTATTAGTGAAAATAGACATAAGAAGAGATCCTTGGGGGCCAGCAGATGGCATAGCGGTTATACCACTGGACTCCCACTTGGTCGACTGTAGTTCGAATCCTAGACCCGGTGGCTTAAAACTCACACTGGACACACGTGTGTGCGTGCCCAAAATCCCAAGAGGAGAATGAAAGAGAAGGGATTATGGTGTGGCCATCCCCCCAGGGAGTGATTTCTTGCTTTCTGCCTCTCTGGCAAGTGCATGTACCCTATTGCAAAAATTTCTCTCTTAAACAAAGAAAATGTCCATTGTCAGAAGACTCCTTCCGTCTAAAAAAAAAAAAAAAAAAAAAAAAATCCTTGGGACCAGCAGATGGTGTAGAAGTTACATTGCTGGACTCCCACATGGCTGACTGTGGTTTAAGTCCCAGATCTGGTGGTTTGAAACTCACTCCAGGTACATGTGCATGCATACCCAAGATTAAAAAAGGCAATGGGAGAAGAAATTGCAATGTGGCCATCGACCCTAGGGGATGATTTTTTGCTTTCTGTCTCTCTGGCAAGTGCATGTACTACAACTCCCTCTCCCTATTCTTCTCCTGGGATCTGAGGCTTTCATGCACACATGCCTGGCATGAATTTCAAGTTGCCAGGTCTAGAACTCAAACCATGTATGGCCATGTGGGAGCACAGCATCTTAACCCACCACGCCTCCTGCTGGCTCCAGGATATCAAAGATTTTTTTTTATCAGCCCAAAAAGACTTCTCACTTTCTAGTCTGTCCTCATTCCCTCCATCCACAGAGCAAAATTCTGTTCTGATTTCTTCAGTAGTGATGAATTTTACCAGCTAGACCTCCATATGCATGAAATTTTGCTGTATGTACTAGTATGTTTGGCTTCAACTCAGCCTTGTTTTTTGGGGGTTTCTTTATGTTCTGTAGCTGGTAGCTGGTTCCTTTTTATCAGTAAGTGGTTTTCAGTTATGGCTGTACCACAATTCGTTTATCTAGTCTCTTGCTGAGAGGCATTTGTGTTGTTTCTAGTTTTAGGATATTGTGAGTAAAGCTGTTATGAATGTTCTTGTACAAGTCCTTTTGTGTATATGTTTCCGTTTCTCTAAATTAAAATTTAGAAGTTGAATGGGTCACAGGATGGTGTGTATATGCTTAAAGAGACTCTGCCAGGCTGATTTACAAAGTGGTTGTACGTTTTACGCTCATGCCAGTAAGCTCTGAGAGTTCCTGTTGCTTCATATCATAACCAGCATTTGGTGTTATCCGTCTTTTAAATTTAAGCCATTCTAATAATCGTGTACTGGTATTTCATTGTGGTTTTACTTTACCTTTTTCTGATGGCTAATGATTTTGAGCTCTATTTCTTTTTAAAAATAATTTCTAATTTACATTTAATTGTTACACACAAGTCTGATATACAACACGTGTGCAATGCATGATAATCAAATCAAGGATATTATCATAGTCCTCACCTTCAGCTAAGAACACTACATTGTGTTGTGCACCGTCAGTTTTCGTTCAACCTGGCTTTGTGGGTTGTTGGTCTATTTTGAGATGTACGTATATATGATTGACAATGCTCTTTTTTTACTCTATTGTGATATACTATTCCATAACCTATTGGCCTATTTACATGCATTCTTGTGTCTGCTAAATGTTTTTTTTTCCTGAGACATTTCTCCTCCCCGTCCTGTACTTACTCCTACCGATAAGACTTTGTGAAGTGTCTGTTTAGGCCTTTTCCCATTTTTAATTGGATTATTTGTCCCCCCCCCCCAGAGGTTTTTGCTACAGGGCGTGTGCGCTCGCCAGACAGACAGAGAGAGACATAGAGACAGAAAGCGAGAAATCACCCCCCAAGGGGGATGGTCACGCCGCAATCCCTTCTCCTCCATTCTCCTCTCGGGATCTTGGGCACGCACACGTGCCCGGTGTGAGTTTTAAGCCACCAGGTCCGGGACGCGAACCGCAGTCGACTACGTGGGAGTCCAGCGACATTGCCATTATGCTAACTGCTAGTTCCTGATTATTTGTCTTTTTATCATAATTTTATAGGAGCTATTCATACATTCTGAGCACAAATCTTTTGTCATCAGTGGAATATAAATGTTTATTCTCAGTCTTTGTTTTGCATATTCATTTTCTAATTTTTTGTTCTTTTAAAAAGCGTGTTTTGGGGCCAACCAAGGGCATAGCGGTTACATTGCTGGACTACCACATGGCTGACTGCCGTTCGAGTCCCAGAGCTGGTGGCTTAAAACTCACGCCGGGCCTGTATGCATGTATGCCCAAGATCCCAGGAGGAGAATGGAGAGCAGGGATTGCAGTGTGGACATCCCCCACGGGCTGATTTCTCACTTCCCTCTCACAGTCTCTCTGTCGACTACCTGTTTCCTAAGGAACACACAC